AAAAATAATTAGGAAATCGAATACTACTTTTTATATGAATAATGGAATTTTGGTTAATCTGTACTTTAAAAAAATTATCTAATATAAGCTGTAAATGAACAGTCACATTTCATATGATACATACAGCAAAATTTTAAATCAGAAATGTTACCCCTCCAAAAAATGAAAAAAATAACAAAAGTGTTCATTTTAATTAAAAAGACAACTCCCCCTCCATTGGATCCTCCACTATGGATGAGGAAACTAAAATAATCTATGGCCCAAACACGACAGGTTGGCCAATAACATAATGCGGGATCATTGTACACAATTAAAAGCTGAACTTTCTACAGTTGTTATAGATGTCACTCCATGCTCATAGTTGCTTCAACAAAGTAGCGCCATCTAGTGTTGGGAAATTGCAGTTCTATTCAACTCTCAAAGTGCTGTACTACAGCTTGTATAGTTTCTCCCTCCGCAACTAGAGACACTGCACTTTTTCTTTTAAACAAGAGCTGAGAAGCAGTTTCAGAGGGCTTTTCCTAAACCATATATATCAGCTTCTTAAATCACCATGTCTTTTAAAATCATTTAGCACTTTACTTACTTTATCTGGTACCCCCTGGACTGCAGCGACATGAGCATATCAGAGGGATATTGTACATTGAATTTGTACTTCATCTCCTGAAGGAAACAAGTTCATTATTGCTTATTTAAATTATTTAAAATGTCAATAATATTACTTCAAATCCCCATAAATATTCAAATATTAAGTGCTTGGTAATTGGAAAATCTCATGTGATCAGAGTGAAATTTATAATTTTAACAACAGTGTATAACAAATGAGCAATCGGGTCAATGATTCCTGAGAGCCATATATATTGTGCCACATTTCGACATGCGCTGGCAATATATTTCCATCATCTTATGATTTGTGTCCGTGCTTCCATAAATATGAGCACTTGAAGACGTTGCTCTACTGGCCTGAAGTGTGTCCTCATGCAAGTATTCAAAGCGTAAGATTTCTGTCTGGTAAACATACCGTCACCAACGATAGTAAACAAACAGGTGGTGACGTAGATGCGCTCTTTTATCTCTTTCATGTTTACTCTCTCGTAAACGGTTTCTCGGTATACATGTACCCCTCTGTTTCTCTTCTCTCTATCACTTTTTTTTCCTCTTAGCCTTTTCTTTAACTCTTCATATCTGTCACTTTTTATTTTATACCTGTGTCTCTTTGTCCCAATGGTGTTGTTTTCATCTCTCTCATTTTCCGCAATAGTCGTGTATTCCTATTTCTCTCTCTGCCTCTCTTTCTCTTTGATACTTCACCTCTTTCCTCTATTCCCTGCCCCCCCCCCCTCTCTCTCTCTCTGACTTCCTCTCTGATATTACATCTCTCTTTCAATCCCTGTGCCTTTCTCTGCCTCTCTTACTACTTGATATACCTTAATCTCATTTACGTCCCGTCTCTTGTACATCTCTTCCACTCTGATAATAACATCCTTTTTTCTTTCCGTCCATCTCTTTCTCTTTCTCTCTCTCTCTCTCTCTCTCTCTCTCTCCCTCCCTCTCTCTCTCTTCCCACCCCTTCCTCTCCTTCTCCCCCTCTCTCTCTCTTCCCACCCCTTCGCCCTCTCTCTATTTCTCTTGCCCCCTTTCTCTCTCTCTCACCATCTCTCTCTCTTTCTCTTTTTCTCTTGCCCTCCCCTCTCTCTCTCTCTCTACTCCTCATTGTCTTTGTCACTAGACCTCTCTCTAATCCTCGATCCCTTTGATACCCTATCCCACTTTCTCGGCAGCAGGATATAGACTGGAAATATACACCTCAAAATAATCAGATCTTCGATGATCTACACACTCATCCTGGATTACTCTACGCAACATCCAATCCCTATCTTTCGGGACAGCGCTATAAATATTCCTCTCTTTTACAAAGTTGATCAGCTGAATGACTGATTGGGGACTATTTTGGGGTTTGTTTGTGTCTATTTTGGAGGGTAGGATTAAGGGGTCTATTTTGGTTGTGTCATTGTTGTGCTGCTGTCGGTGAATCCCTCCGAGTTCATCAACGATCGCCCTCAATGTTGTATCATAAGGGAGTCATCCAGGGTCCCGTCGTGTTTCTTCGATCACGGGATATCCATGTCCTCTGAACGACCTTTTAAAAACTTACTTCCCAATAAAAAATAGAGCACCCACCCTACAGCGCTGTCTGCTGAGGTTTCGGAACAAAAGTAGTTTCAACATTTTACCTCATGCAACATGAGGTGGTCCTTCTCTAAATGTCGACACAAACTTTCAGTAAAATATTTCATTTTATATTTTCCATAGAAGAGTACTTTCCAACAAGAATAAGCTATATCTGTGCCTCCAATAATACCCTCTATTTAGTATACATCACAATTGGAAAGTAGAAAAGGAATCTCTCCTTTACAACACATCTCTATAGTCTATCACAATATGTTTTGGAAAAAGTAGGCCAAGTTATAGCCTCTTTAAAAGGAAACTTCATGCTTATCACTTCCAAGAACTTTGTAAGAAACAGTTTTTCACATGTATCAAAAATCCCATCACAAAAGAAAGAAATAAAAAATGTTAATTTCACTTTCGTCAACAACTCTCATACAGCATCTCATATTGATCCACTGCTCCATCAATTCATGAATCGATCGGGCAGAAATTCTCCGCTTTTTAGAAGTAATATTTCCATGGGGGAGGGGAAGGGGAGATGCATCATGTAGATAGAAGTTTCACCTCACAACCCTCTTCAGAATCATTGATTTCACTTGCAACCTGGCTCTGCGTTATTACCCAAAACAAATATTATGGTCATCAACACAGATTCACAAGTGTCTGGTAAATAATACTGTGTGCCGTCATAAAATATACTTCTGTTCCATATATCTCTCACTTTTTTGTTTCTACCCACTCTGATATATATTGATTTATATACTTGCTTGGTTTATGATGTGTGAAAATGAAACCTGTTTTGTTGTCAGCACGTGTTTTCGCAGGTGTATTTTGATATACTATTCCACATCTAGCGATGGAACTGTTTTTGTTGTAATGTTTGAAAGTGTATATCTATATTTTTTCTGTTTTTTGTGTGAAGGTTTTTTGTTCTTGCAGTTTGCATTGGTGTTGCCTGTTCCAATTCTCTTTTACCACAGAAAAGCAGGAAACAATGTTCATTTTACTTCAAACTTTACATTATAAAAGACATTAGAAAGAAAGGTTCATAGATCTTTTGGGGTACAATTTCACCTGAAAACAATGGTTCTGTTTAAAGGTTTAAAATATAGTCTCAAATATATAAGTTTGCAATGTGGTCTTAATAATTTTTGTTTTCATTCTTATTGTCTGATGAATATTGATATAATGAATTAAGATAGATATATTTGTATTCCACATGATAAAATCTATGCACCATTCATGCAGTCTGTCAAACTCATCATGAAGCATGCATGCTGGCAAGTCCTAATTACATCAATCAACTAACTAATCATGTCATCAACCATACCATTAACCAAATCATTACTTAATTCAATAATCAAGCAGTTGATTCATCAATCAATTCTTCCATCCATCTATCTATCCATCCATCCATTTGACTATTCATCTATCCATCCATCTATCTATGCATCACTTCTTTCATCCATCTATCTATTCATCCAACTATCCACCAATCAATAATTTCATCCATCCATCAATTCATTCATTCGTCCATCCCTCCATCAATCCACCCATCCACACATTAATGTAATCATTCATTGATTTATCCTTCCATCATATAACAACATTCTTCAAACACATGCCTGCAAATAAAACACATTATTAAAGCATAATATACAACATATAAGTAAATAATCTAAAACATTACTGAATAGTTACAATAAAATCACACATCAGAAGATTTAAACTGAATGAATTATTCAAACTGTATCAACTTGCTTATATGGATAATTCAAACTGAATGATCTAATATCCTAACAAATTCACAATAATCCAATAATATCACATATATAAATATATATTGCCATGGCAACAAAATAACAAATGGAAAATAGTATTCAGTCAAATGCATGTATATTTGTTTTCATTTCCATGGCAATATCTTAATTCAATATGATTAATATCAGGAATGGAAGTGATATCAAAGGAAAAGCAGGGGAAGTTTCTTGTTACTAAAAATAAAGAAATGTTGGCATGTGCTTGAAGATCTCACATTGAGTGTTTTTTGCAAGATACACAGAAAATGAAGTGATAGTCAATTCTAATTATGGTTAATTACAACTTCTGGGATTTTTAATTTGGCTTTCAAAATATCCCTATGAGTGTCTCAAAATTTGTGTTGCCTGTCCTGATGCTACAGAACTTACATTTTCATTTGCTGAAATCTCTGAATTCAAATGACGTGGTTGTCAGTTACTGGTAAGTCATTGGAGGTGATTCAATTTCCTTTCACTATGCATTTCCCTTTTCACTATTCATTTCCCATGCATTTGGGCCTAAGATATCTTGGGCTTAAAGGTAGTAATAACATGGTACAAAGGTACTGATTTGCAATCAAGCTGAAAGTAAAAAATGATAACAACAATTTTGGATGTAAGGCTATGTTTACCCAGAAGTTCATTTAATTTTTTTTTCCAGTATCCTTGATGATGATCCTTTTCTATGACAGATTAATGACTGTCATTGCCAAAGAAATAAAAACTGAACCCATAAATAGCATCTGTTTGGCAAGCAATTTGCAGTACTTGGCCAAATTTTGGTTGATTAACACTAAATCATTATCATGACTTGCTTACATGTGACTGTCAATTTTTTGCACTACATCAACTGAAAGAACCATCTCAGAAAACAGCCACCTGCCTGTATCATTCTCATGTGCATTTACACTGGAATGGTCTCTATAGGCATGTAGTCCCTCATAGAACAGCAACCTGGCTATAAAAACCATCCATCTATGCATTTTACACTAGGAGTGGCCTTTATAGGCAGGTTTCCTTTGAACTAACCTGTGGTCACTGAAAGATTGGTGTCGCTCACTTCCTGGAGCAGCCTCCGATTCTTCCCCAGTACCTTCTTGAGCGCGATGAGCCATCTCTCGTGGGCACCTCGTAACCGTGGCGACCGACTCCCCCGGTTGGAGGTCGTCTCCCCCTTGTTGTTGTTCCCACTCCTCATCCCGTTGCGGATCCCCAGCTTTGATGAGTAGTGGTGGTGTCCGATAGAACCGGTTAGAATACGCCCTCTATAGTTGCTTTTCGAAACAGTTCAAGCTCTCCTATCATATACAAATCTCCCTGGTATGTCACGTTGCAAGTCACTGCTGCAAACCTGTGAACATTAAATGAAAAGTGAAATGAGAATTGAGCATCTATCGGTATAAAAGTCTACTCCATCTCGTGCTTCTCACTCCTACATAACAAAACAACAACATGACATTACACTTTCATTTACAAGCGAAAGCACAATTTCAAGTTCCCTGTAAAAATCAACAAAATCAATAACAGAGCATGAAGGTGAATTTCAACGAAAAAACAACACTACATGCACACATCATATAAATTGCAACATAACTGTTTACTGATGTTATGAATACTGCTTGCATAAGTTTCTCTAATCAATCCCAAAACTTGCCAGGTCTGTCTGACATTACAACTATTAATGTACGCAAAATGAATTCCATCGACAGAGATGCCACTATACATAGTGGGTGAATTAAAGTTGGTAAATAGGGGTTCTTGAGAAGAAAATGTATGAAAAGAAACACATAAGTAAAGTTTATTCTCTGAAATTAGTTCACTGTCTGCATAGATACAGATTACTTTATTCTATTGGGGCACCTCTTGATGGATATAATGTAATGACAAGGCAAAAAAAAAGGTAACATTAACAATACTAGCCATACTTATAATCATATTAATGGTATAAGGCGCATGCAGCAAGCCAGCTGGTAGACTCGGAAGCAAAATTGCCAGGTGGTTTTCCATATTTTCGAAAGACCTAGCACAGCTACCCAGCTCTCAACAATAATAACAGGCATCTAGCTCCCAGGCAAGTCGATCGGGGCTAATTAATTGTCTTGACAGTCCTCAACATTTCAAGAAGAATCGATTGGCAGGGCAATTCAATATTGATAGGTCGCTTGGAGAATCGCTCCCTTCCCATGTTCAGATTGAGAGAGGGTCCCCGGCTATGCCACGTTCTGAACATCGAGGGTTGGAACGTCTGCGAAGCAAATTCAATTCAGTCTCGTCTTCTTTGGCTTAGCATGCATGGCCATGAATTATCCCTCAAGGGCTCTTTTAAACAATAGGAAAGTTTGTACAAATGAAAAAAACAACCGCAATCACCACAGACTGAAATTTAAAGTCAAATCACAGGATACATATTGTAGAAGAGAAAACAAAACATGAAAAGTAACTTGTTTTGGAAAGGAAGAAAGAGCAAGTCAAATATGATTTGTAATTGTATTAAAGGTAAAGATCAGTTATGGTCATGCGATTGCATTGTGAAAGAAACGTTGTGGAATCGATCAGAAAAGGTTGATCATCTAGCATCTGGCATCTGCAAGGTTCTGGAATCATCAAAATGAAAAGAAATTTGGCCCATTCTTCGTAAAGTTACAAGCACTATACACAGAAAGATGTATATGGGACTACCCTATATCTCTCACAGACCATGAGAGAAACAAATTTACCAAATATATGAATTAGTAGGCGGTTTCCCGGCAAATTTTTTATCATCATGTATTAGTCAAAACATATTCTTTCACATGATTGGTAATGAGAGCTTCCATTTCATTTTTTGAAATTGGGGCGTTTCCAATACTGGTCTTTACCTTTAAGTTTTTATGCAGTACAATTTGTGCTGACAACTCTGTTTAACTGTATACATAACATTGTTCTAATGATGTACAGGTATAATAACTTTCACAAAAGAACAACTCAGCTATTTAAAGGTCATTCATGAGATAATTTCCACGCCTATAAAACAGTAGCTTAGTAGTTATCTTTATGGCCTAGTGCTCTGTCTGGGGGAATTAAAGCTCTTTGTTTTGAACAGTTGCCTGTCATGTCAAAGAGTAGATTGAGTCACAGTCGTGCAGGAAGGGGGAATGTTTTACAGAGAAAAGAATAATGTATGGTCTTGAAAAGAAGGGAAACTAAATGAGCTCATTATTTTGTAAGATATAAAAGGATAGCTGTCACATAGACTTGGTTACCATTGGAACTCTGTATGAATACAATGACACAATGTGTAATTTCATAGCCATTTCAAAGAAAGGTTGGGGTAAAAAGGTAAGAAGGAGACACAATATCAAGAAAAAGGTATTATTATTTCTAATTGGCAACTAAATTGAAGCTGACATTACTGGCATAAATGACTCCTAAACGTTAAGGAAGGATAGAGAGGGAGCTAGGGGGCTTATGAGGAGAAATTCTACGAAAGCAATTACTACTTAGTAGATTTTCAGCCATTTGAAACAAATTCAAAGGAGTTTTAGATCAAGAGTGACAGTATTTTGTTTAGTTCTCATCACAATGGATAATGAGTGTTGGCAGATGGTGATTTTTGAGCTGACATCTTGCATTTCCTCAAGACCATCTTGAGCTGAGTTGGTAATGACAATGATACTCCTAGCGACCGATCTTCGTGAAGACTTTCAGACGACAAGAAACAATGTATAGAGAAATGTATAGAGTAATGTTGCATAAGGGAACCCATAAGATAACCGCATAGAAGAGGGACTATATACACACAAAGGATAGGAAATCGCACAGAATTAGAATTTTCTATTCTGTTATGGTTCTGTTTGTCATAATTCATTGGCCTCTACTAATGAAGTATATTGTCACAAAAGATCAAGCACAGCTAACAGTAACAACACCCCCCCCCCCCCCCCCCGCATGATAATATGCTATTCATGCAGTGTTCACACAAGCGATGTAGAACCTGATTCATCAAAAAGATTTTTCTCTCAAAAGCAAGTCACAATTTTCCATTCTACTATATGATGATTTGTTACCAAAAAAATAGGATATTCACACAAGAGAGAACTAATTAGAGCTATATGGTATTGTATGAAAAACAATGTAGGCCTACGCATGTATAGATTAGTTTTTTGCTCGTCTGAAGGGGGATGGGATTGTTGATTACTTCCTCAGTTTCACCAAGATTCCACGATCTTGCTCTTTTATGGCTTCGTTTAAGAGTGAGGCTCAGGGAGAAGATGAGGATATCCATGGACAAAGATGAAATTCAGGAAAGAAATCAAGAAAGACGGAAATGGAAAAATGGAGGAATATAGGTAAAGAAACAAGAGATCACGAAAGCATGATGGGAAAGGGCTTAAGATGAGATGAGGAAAACTGATGGAAAAGCCATGACGATCAGATGACAATGATGGTGATGATGATGGTGATGATGATGGTGATGGTGGTTGTGGTGGTGATGGTGGTGGTGGTGGTGGTGGTGGTGGTGTTGGTGGTGGTGGTGATGATGATGATGATGGTGGTGGTGATTATTATCATGATGATCAAGCAAAGGTATATATATATATATATATACAAACAAAGATTTTTTTTTGAAATAGAAAGAATACATCTTTAACGTGTCAAATCATCACAAATAGAATATAAAACATACAAAAATTACTTTTGATATTAAAATGGACAAGACCACACATCACTAGTACTTGCTGCAGTAAAAATATGGGCATTGAGGCAGAACTAATATTCCATCAGCTCCAAGTACGTCAGACAGTTCAGAAATTGCCTCTTGACTAAATAACATCTTCACAACCAGCATCAAGGTGGATTCTGGGAAGGGTTCAATGGACGTTTGAGAGGCTATTTCACGACAACGACAACAACGTTTCTTCCAAGCTGTTGCACTCTATGATGTGATTAGCTGGAAACTAGTTCACTCAGAGGGGTCGTATATTGTCATACACAAGAGGAAAGGATATAAGTCATGATTTAATAGCTTCTGTTGCTTGAAATCTCAGTCTATTACTTTAAAAAGCAATTTATGACTGATCAACAATACGTTATTGTATTTGCTTTCAAAGAACAAGTCAGTTTCATAGTAACATACCAGTTAAATTTTCTGCACTTTAAATGAATTTGATCAGATACACGTCACATGAATGGTGAATCGTCATCATCATACCAAATGAAGACTTTAATTTATTTCATGTTCGGACGTAATACATGTGGCTAGAAAAGTTCACATGGTTCATTCAGTAATTCAAATACATCCTGAGAAACTGTTTAAGGGGATTCATACAAAGGTCAAAACTTTGAAATAAATGTAACTTGATTCAAACAAAAATACTAAAGACAATATGAATTTAAATGACTCTCGGGAAAGAAGCCTAAAAAGGGCTCCCGAGAATAAAATCAAGTATGTATTTTTTGTCACTCATTCCAACATTCTTCCATCTGCATGTGGATTGAGGAAGCCATGTTAGAAGGAAATTTGATGAAAGTTATTAGAAAGGAATATCAAGCCCTGAGGAAGAAGCTAGCTCTGGAGGCGGTAAACGTCTTCCATCCAGCTTCATCCTAATTATTCCCCGATAATTACCACAACAGCGCCGATCTCAAAGCCTCTTGAGGGTTTGTTTTCCATTCATATCCTAGACTTCCTGCGTACCAGAGACGAACAGACGGAGGCGGTATGTGTCCCGCAGAGAACATGTTCTCTCGATATTGCTTGATTCGGTATTACTTCATCGCAGAGCAGGGACCTCTTTCACAAAACCTGTCATATCAGTGACAAATGACAGTTTTTGTTAATAAGCTAGAGAAATCCTTACTTCTGATTGGTTATCAGCAGATTTGTCACTGATTTTTGTCATTTGTCGTTGAAAAAATGCTTTGTGAAACAGGTCCCTGATCTATACCAAGCATCGGTAACGGGAGAAAGATCGGAAGCAGACAGATGCTTGCATGTACTGCTTATCTAACGGAATGCATGGGTTCCTGATATCACATAATTAATATCTATACTCTTTCAACAAATCTTTCAGTTCATGTTTGTCCCCTTTTATCTTTTGTTACATACTGTGAAGCATTTTTGCAGGGAACCACGTAATAACTTGTTTGGATTGTACGCACGATCGAGCCCCATGTTACAATGTCAAAATTTTGGGGTTCCAAATATTCTTCTAAAACTCATCATATTTTCGGACTCATAAAGATTGGAAAACTTGTTCTGTAATTCAAACATGGTGTCAAAAGGAACGCTGGTTCCTGGGGAGGGAGGGTGCTGAAGAGAGAGAGAGAGAGAGAGAGAGAGAGAGAGAGAGAGAGAGAGAGAGAGAGAGA